GGTGACAGCCCCCACTCCTCCAGGTAAGGATGTTCAGCCTGGTGGGGAACCAGCACGGACAGGAGGTAACAAGGTCCCCCCCTTTAGGGAGAAACCAAAAGCATCTCTAAGAGCCATGCCTGGAAGAGCCCCCCCTGCATTTTCCAACCCCCCAATCCACTTGGCAGCACCGTGGGGTGCCAGGATTTTCTACCCCAGCAACGTAGAGCATCTCGGGCAGGAGCGACCCTTCCTCCTGCTGCTGCAGAGCTAGTTTTGGCAAAACGGCCCCCGTGGCCCCCATGGTCTGCAAACAGACCTTTGGCCAGTGCTGGGCCCTGCTGGGGGTCCCCTTGCACCCAGCACCAATGCACGGGGATGGAGCAACATGGCCGAGGCTGCGGGGACAGGCCCTGGCAGTGGGGACCCCTATGATGCTCCCAGCCCCGTGCAGTGGCTGCTCCTCCTGGTGTCCTCAGCTGGAATCTGGGAAGCAGCGGCTTGGCCACCTCAACCCCCTCTCCCCAAATGAAGGGGAGCGGCTCCAGATTTAATCTGGTGTCCTTAAAATCCCAGACGCGCTGCCGGCACCGGGCAAGCTGGGACAGGACAAGTGGTGGTACCACATCAGAGGCCTCCGGGCATCCCCATGGGTGTCCCAGGGCCCTGCTCCCCCCAGCCCACATCAATGCCTGGCACTGCCGCACCCAGGGTGCGATGCTGCACCCCTGACCCTGCTCCTGCCACTCCGGATGGGTTTAGGAATGGGGCGCTGGTCGCAGCCATGCTGGGTTATCACCTCCCCTGTGCACATCCCAAAGGGCTGGGTGGCTTTCCTGGCTCATGGGGAAATCTGGTTCCATCTTTCCCCTCTCCACTTCACTTTGCCCTTAGGGTACAGGTCAAACCAGCTTTTCCTGAGCTGTGGGGCCAGTCCCACACCCAGCACAGGAGCTGGGAGGATGGGCTCTGGGCTGGGAGGGAGCAGGGATGGCTACCACAGCCTGGGCACAGGGCACCTGCTGGGCTCCCTTGTTGGGTGCCCATGGCCATGCAGGGTGCAGGGCACCCACTCAGAGCAGTGTTGTGATGTTTCCCAGCAGAACTGGGGCTGTGAGTGCCGTGTCCCGGTCCCGCTGCCCATAAACACAGGGCTTGGAGCTGCCTGGAAGACTCAGCCGGAAAATCACGGCATTGCTCTGGATGGACACTGCAACCCCCCTAGAGCCACCTCTGCCTCCGGGGATGGTCCCTGCGCCCCTGCCCTGGGCTTGTCCCACGTCTCTGGAGCCCCCCCAGCCTGGCTTTTCTCCTGCAGGTACAAGGTTGGGTGCCCGGGCTGTGTGCGTAGGCACCCTCCCTACCTCTGCCTTTTAGGCTCTTAGTTTTGAGCAACTGGTTTCAATTTGGGTGGTAGCAGAACAGCTGAGCCAGCGCTACTGGGAGAGCAGGGTGCTGAGCCCCCCCGGGGTTGCTGAGCCTCATGGGGGCGGCTGGAACAGGCACGGGCGAGATGTGTGGTGAGAGGAGCCGCACCGAGACCTTCGAGGCTTTTCAAAAAACAGGCGTCAGCTCCCGCTCCCCTCTGGAAGTGACTCACGAGTGCAAAACAACAACAAAAACCACCCTCAGAATCTGGTTTGTTTTGTTGTTTTTTTTTTCTGGGAGACAGAAACGATGCTGTCGTGTAAACACCCTGAAAACATTACTCACAGCATCCCGGAGCCCTTCAAAGAGTTTCTTTAAAGAACAAGAAAAAAGTATGGTTTAGGTTTAGGGAAGAAAAACGCCGGCCGGCTGACTGGGAGCTGGGATGGGTTTGTCTCTTTTTAAGTCAATTATTTTTGGAGGAAGCCACGCCATACCCTCACCCATAGCAGGGAACAGATGGGCCCAGTATGGCCCTCACTGGGACTGGGCATCGAAACCACCCTGGGGACCAAGCTGGCAGAGGGGGATGAGGGTGAGGATGCTCGGGTGGGATCTAAGGGTGTTTCTCTCTCCCACCCCAGCACCATCAACACCCCCTTCCCAAGAGTGACCCTGGCTCTGTGTGATGCTCCCTGGCTCAGTGGCACCTCCCCGGCCCCAGGAGCACTCCAATCCCATGGGACAGTGCTGGGGGCAGCAGCTCTGGCCCCACTCATGTGCTCAAAGCCGTATGGGATGGAGCCGTTGTGTTGCCATGGAGGAAAGGAAGCAGCCAGGAGAGAAACCTCTCCACGTGGGGAGGTGAGAGCAGGGCCTGCTGTGCTCCCCAGGCTGGGGGGAGAAATCTCTGCAGGGTTTGGAGGTGGAGGGGCTCCATCTGCCTCTGGATCGATGGAGCTGTGGGATTTAAAACTCAGACTTTCCTCCTCCAGCCCCATCGGCTCCATGACATGAGCTGGGCCGTTCTCAGCAGCCACCTCTTGCCCAAAGAGCCAACGTGGCCCCCTCGAGGGATGCTCCTGGCTGTCCCTGGGCCTGCTCCTGCCTTCTTCCCCCGCTGCCCGTGCTGGCTTACACCTCACCGTGCAAACAGCCCCATAAATCCCCCGCTCCTACCACCTACTCTTAGATTAAACAAACCAGCCCAGGAGAAGCAGGGCAGACAAGCAGTGGCTTAGATCTTAAAACAACAACAACAACAACAAAAACCCCAAAACAACCTAAATAAATCTTTTCATGCCCAGGAAACGTAGCCTGGTTGCAGCTCAACGAGCCCGCCCGCACCTCCTGGGGGGGACGGGGGAGGGAAGAAGTGCGCAGAAGTTGCAGAGCCTGTTGGGCCGGGGTGCGAGCGCTGGGGAGGGATGTGCGGCTCCTCCTGAGGACAAACCCTCCCTGGGGCTGCTTTGAAGCAACCCCCCCAGTGCTGCTATTAAGGAAAGTTCTCCCCTCCTTTCCTTCCTGGGCATGCATAATAAAAGGAAGTGATAAAAGAAAGGAAGGAGGGAGGGGGGGAGAAAGAAAAGAGGCAGGAAGGGCACCAGCGCAGCTTTGTGCGGCTCCTGAC